CTTTAGGCCCACGACTTCGATTTCTTAGACCTCTCGTTTATAACTTATATGAGTTTAAGCATATGGATTTTTGAGGCCGCGTTGCCAAGTCCCTAGATGTGGACTGTTTTTCTTTGGATATTCCTTTACTCTCGTACTTTTAAGTAGCGTTTGGTATCTAAAAAATAAAAATATATTTTTTATAATATATTTAATTAAATTACATTATAGTGTTTATTTTGTAACATATCACTATAATGTAAGATTGCAGTGCAATCACATTATTGTCAATTGATATAATATGATTGTAGTTCAAAACTAATGCAATCACATTACATTACACTCTACAATATTCTTAAAGATAATTTTACCCTTCAACTTTATTAGTTTATTAAAAATATTTTATAATGTTATAATTAAAATAAAAAATATTAAAATAAAATATATAATATAATAATCAAAATTTAAAATAAAAAAAATATAAAAAATTAAAATTTATATAATATAGGTAAAATAAATTAAAATATAATATATAATATAAAAAATATAATAAAGAAATAAAAATAAAATATATGACATTAAAAATATATTTAAGAGATGATATTATATAAAAATTAATAATAAAAAATATAAATATATTAAAAATAAAATATATAAGATTAATAATAAATAAAAATAAAATATATGACATTAAAAATATATTTAAGAGATGATATCATATAAAAATTAATAATAAAAAATATAAATATATTAAACTTATATTTTAATAATTATGAGTAATTTTAAAAATTAACTTTACATTCTCAATAAAATACTTGTAAACTAAATGTTGCAATGTTATCTTTCTCTACATTTTAATCATTATTTTGTTTGTATACCAAACACTGTAATGTTATGTTCCCTGCAATCATATTGCTTGCAATCATATTGCTTGCAATCACGTTACTTACAATCACATTACATTGTAAAGTACCAAACACCACTTTAACAAAATTGAGACAATCAAATAAATATTTATTTTACGTCGCGTGTCTTATTGACATGATATAGTGATTATAATTTGATACATTGATATGATATGATGATATAGTTATATGATATTTTTAGCTTTTATATTAATGTCATATAAGTATAAAAAGGACAAATGATATTTTAATTAATAACAATTATTCAGTTGTTAGTTATAAAAGTTTATTTGATCTAACATAAAAATATAAAAAAAATTAAACGTGATATAAAAATAAGAAATTATTTAAAATTTTTTAAATAATTAATGAGATTTTTAAAAATATTATACCAAAAATAGAATTTGAGGTGAAACAAAATAAACCAATAGTGGCAAAACTTGGACTAGTGCATGATACCTTTTAGTTACAATAGATGAGGTTTGACATTGAACCCTCTATATTTTGGATTTTCTAATATATATACCAAAAAAAAACAATAGATGTTTATTTTTAAATAATACTTATTTAAAAATTGATAAAGTACTTATTTGTAGCAACTATTTGATTTAATGAGTTAAATTTAATTCAAATGTACTATTTTTTATTTATTTCTTTCATCTATCTCCTAGAGCTGTCGAAGAATATTCGAGTTATCCTTGTATTCAATATTAAGACTTTCAAAATCAAGTCTTATCCAATTGAGATGATCACCATGTTCACTTCATTCGCTTTAAATTGAATGATCACATTTTCTTTTTACTTCATCTTAAAATTATGTCAATTTTTTTTAGAGATTATATTTGATACATTAACCATATATAATTTTTATATATTATCAAGCTTCGAAATAGTGCCATTTCATCAAAAAATAAATTTAAAATTTTTAAAGACTTAAAATAAATATAACCAATTTTCTTTAAAAAATAAAAATTATTATTTTATTCTCGCTTAAAAATTTGGTGATCCACTTATAACTTTCACATACAGTCATTGCATTCTTCACCCTATTGCCCTCTCATGCCAAATTTCCAGCACAAAGTTAGAAATTTTTAAATCAGAGACCAAGAGAACTTGACATCAAAATCTGACATCAACAACTCAAAACATTTTGCCTACAGCTACCAAGTATTTGCAGCAATTAATAAAAATCAGTACCAATCAAAACTAGTGCAACTAAATTTTTTTTCTGGGTTGTGGATGATTGGTTTGATTTAATTCATGCATTTTTGGAGTATGATCCTGTATAGAAATTGATGGAAAAGTTTCTTTTCATTTTGTTTACATGTAAGTAGAATTAACTTAGAACTAAAAGAGTCGTACGGATAAGATAACCAGGGATCTGGTATTTGCTAAAAAAGTAACAATCAAGTAAAATATTGTAAAGCATTTAAAATACTTTTTATATTTAAATTTTTTTTACTTGTTTGCTTAACAAGTAAACTTAATTTTTAAGATATTTATTTTTATATCATTTACTTTACTTATATTTTAAAAAAAGTATAACATAAAGTGATTATTTATAGAAATAGTTCATTTTATATAAATGACATAAAAATAAATATTTTAAAAATTATACTTATTTGTTGTGCAATGAAAGCAATCAACAAGTAAGCAAAACTTAAATATAAAAACTATTTTAAATGCCTTAAAATATTTTACTTGATCGCTACTTTTCTTAGTAGCTATTAGACTTTCTTCATGAGAGCCGTTTTGTACACATTTATAGGTTATGTGAGTTCGACCCCCTTGTATGTATGATCTATATCTTAAATTAATTTTCCTTTTAACATGTTACATTTGGAGTGGGCAAGTTCGTTTGCCAGGTTCTTAAATGTAGTGTTCCATCACTGCAAGTGGATAGATTGTAAGGTTATTGATGAAAAGAATTTTTTTAATTTTATTTTTTTAAAAAATTGTAAAAAATATGAAAAAATACTGAAGTCAAATAATTTTTTCTTATGTTTCATGTCAAGTAGTATTAAACAAATAATATATTTTTAAAATTTAATTTGAAGTATTGATATATCTTTCATTTACTGCTTAAAGTTGTCTAAAGATCGAATTATCCTTATATTGAAAATACTAAGACTTTTTAAACTTGAGTTTCGCTCAACGTGACTTCAAGGAATTATATAATAAGTAAACAATTTTATTTTTGGTATTTAATTAATTAAATAATATATTTTATTTATATATTTGAAATAATAATAATATTTTGTTTTCTTCTGTTTTGAAAGTTAAATATTTTGTTTTCACTTTACTATTTGTAGACAGCTTATTTTGTCCGTGGTGTTTATTGAAATTTGAAAATAACAAATATAAAATAACAAATATATATATATATAAAGAAAATAAACATAAAAAAAGGATAAGTATAGGTGAGCTTAAATATCTAAAAGAAAAGATTAAGTTACATTGAATCGAAACTCAAGAAATGAATTTAAGAAGAAACACAACACATTGGTTATGAATATAGCCTAAATCAATAAATAAGAGAAAATAAATTTTAAATTTTTTGGATTTTTGATTTTTGATTTTTTGAAATCTAAGATAATCCATTTAGTTTTTAAAAAACGGCACACTTAGAAGGAGAACGGAAGCGGGGCTTTATATCAAAAGCAAAATGATGCCGTTTTACATTAATTAAGGCGAGCTTTGTGGGCTGAATTTAATAGATCCGACTCCCTCTTAGTATTTTGATCACGTGAATTCATTGGGGTAACTTTGGCTTAGTAGTTTGGTTTATTTTTTGGATTTTCAATTCAATTAGAAGAGTTTTCTTTTTATTAATTCATATTGTTTTTAGTATTTGGATTAAAGTGTTTTTTTTTTAATTTAATGATCTTTGAACTATTTTTTTCTTATTATTTTTTATTTTTATTTTTATTTTTTTGAGTCATTTAAAAATTAAGACTCCAAGATGAAATTTCAAGAGTGAAAAAAAAAAGTGGCTTTTGAGAATTTTTAAGTGAGAAAATTTTTCAAAATTATGTCTTTGGGGATTTTAGAAAATTTTCAATTTCAAAGATTTGCATAAATATTTAAATAAAGAAAAAATAAAAAAGATAAAACATAAAATTAAATAAATAAATTTTCTGGAATCTAAGGATAGCAAAAGAGGTGGTTTTTTTAAGAATTTCTACGTCAAGGAATTTTTCAAAATTATACTATTAGAGTTTGGAGATTTTGAAAAATGTTTAATGTCATGAATATTTATATATTTATTTTGAAAAAATTAATTATAAAAGAAATTATAAAAAAATAAAAAATAGGTAAAGAAAATAAATTGAATATTGAAGTTATGAATCAGATGGGTGTTGTGAGGGTGTTAATATCTTCCTCATATGTAAAGTAATCTGCTTTAATTAAATAAAAAATGATTGATTCTAAGCTGTTGAGTTTTATGACTAATACGTTATGACATTATATTTATTAAATGAAAAACTATATATGTTGGAAATGGATAATATCTCTTATGTTTATTATATAATTTACTACAATTAATCTGAATTTATTAAATTGATGAGTAATAAAGGATCGTATATAGAAAGTTAACAAAAGAAAGATATCATATAATTTGTTTATCAAATTCTTTGTTGATATGAGACCTTAGGAAAATATATCAAAGTCGAGATAAGTTGGATCTAAATTGAATCACTTTTCTTTATAGATGAGAATGTAATTACAATTACACAATTAAGTGAAGAAAAATATTATATTTTTTGAATTGAAAATATAAATTTATGACATTTATATATAATCAAGATTCTAATTATTTAATGGTTGTTTTAATATTTGATTTTTTAAAAAAAATCTGTATTTCTAATTATTATTTTATAATAAAAATTTTACAAACTTATGTAAATGTAGAGGGAAGGAGAGAGATTATTAGAGAATGAAATGAAATTGTATAAGTGCCCCTTTTTGTTGCAAAGCTACGATTGAGGGGCATAAATGGCTAAAATTGTATCGTTAATATGAAACGCACACCATATTTGATCTTGATCCAACGGTCAACACTGATTCAAGGTGGCATGGACCACACAAAACACGAGGTCCAACTCTCGATTTTCTCACCGTCTCATCTCACGTTCAATTCTATGAGCAAATTCATTCAAGCTTTCTCCTCTTACTCCGACCAAACTAACCTCTAGGTTTCCAGCAGACCCCTTTTCCTTTGGAAAAAAAGGTCAAATACTCAGAAAAAAAAAAGAAAAAAGCCCTATTCCTGATGCGGGCTCAATGTACCTGGACACCGTCAGAAATGCTGAGACCACTTTCCTTTAAATTCCCAACAACATTCTTTACTTTCTCAAAGCATTTTCGAAAGGATACTGATTCTCCTTTCTTCAGGACTAATAGGAGAATCAACAAGTACCCATCTGTCATGGCCACCATTTCCACAGCTTCCACCCATAAAGACCCTGTTTCTACTCAGGACGGGCCTGCCCAAATCACCCAGCAGCCCGCACAGGTAAGCACTAAAGACCATTTTTTTTTTTGGTTGTTTATTGGAAAATTTTGTGGTTTTGTGATTTGGGTATTGCCCTTTTTATCAGATGTTGGTATAATAATTTCTAAGGTGGTGGTTGATTGACTTGGTTCTATGGATATTATTGTTCCCTGATGGGTTTGGTTTGGCTTTTGAAGAAAGGGGCTATCCTTTTTGCATGATTCATTTGTCTGATCTTGATTTGGGCCAAAGTTTGTTTCTTTATGAACTTTTTCTTTTTGGTGCATTTTTGTAGTGGAATTGTTTTGTTGAGGTGCATTTAGAGAATATCGAAACTTCTTGCTTTTAACATGTGTGAACTGAATATTATGATATTCTTTACGAGTTTCAGGAAATAATTAGTGAGTATAACAAATTGAAAGCACTATCTTTTTGTTTTTCTGATGTTTCACGGAAATGGTTGTCAAAATCCGATGTCAGGATAAATTTCTGAAATTATTATAAAAAGGGATTGCTGTTGCCATGCCTTTTTGATTTTTCCGATTTGAGGAATGCGCAGTGTGGGATACAACTTCTAAAGTGCATTTTGTTCTTGTCCTTCCCCTGATTATTATTGCCAGTTCCCACCTTCGATAGCTTTTTTTAAGAAACTAGCAATCATATCGGAGCTTGCAGTCATGTCTTGACCTTTAAATTTATTACAGAAAGTCTCAGGAGAACAGGAAATTTCATAATCTTTCTAGCATCAGGAATCTGTTGGTGTATTAAGTTCATACAGACACCTGTTAGTACAATAAAATATAGGGAAAGCAACTGTCTTATCTGGTCTTGAATCTATTACCATTTTGATATAGAGATTCGAGAATTAATTGAGTGTTAGTGAATGCTCACGGTTCCTCATGTTCCTCCACATATTGATCTGCTCAAGCTACAATATATTCTTTGTTTAAATAGTTTGGGGCATAAAGTAATGGTCCTCTCCTTGAATCCCAGATTTAATTTAAGAATAAATCATAATTTCCTTCCTATGTTAGAAAATCAATTGTGTGGCTGTTTATCTATTTTCTTTTGCCTAGTAACCTTGTACATTTCGTCAGGTTGCAAAGCGATTGGAGAAGTTCAAAACTACAATTTTTACTCAGATGAGCATGCTTGCTATCAAGCATGGAGCAATAAACCTCGGCCAAGGCTTCCCCAACTTTGATGGTCCTGATTTTGTAAAAGATGCTGCAATTCAAGCCATTAAAGAGGGGAAAAACCAATATGCCCGTGGATATGGAGTTCCTGACTTTAACAATGCCATAGCTGCTCGCTTCAAGAAGGATACTGGACTTGTGATTGACCCTGAGAAGGAAGTTACGGTTACTTCGGGGTGCACAGAAGCCATTGCTGCAACTATGTTAGGCTTAATTAATCCAGGTGATGAAGTGATCCTCTTTGCTCCATTTTATGATTCTTATGAAGCAACACTGTCCATGGCGGGTGCCAAAATAAAATGCATCTCATTGCGCCCTCCTGATTTTGCTGTTCCGGTTGATGAGCTTAAGTCCAGTATTTCAAAGAATACTCGTGCCATTCTTATAAACACTCCACATAATCCCACCGGGAAGATGTTTACTCGCAAGGAACTTGATATCATTGCATCGCTCTGCATTGAGAATGATGTTTTGGTTTTTACTGATGAAGTTTATGATAAATTGGCTTTCGAAATGGATCACATTTCTATGGCATCCCTTCCTGGAATGTACGAGCGAACAGTAACTATGAATTCTTTGGGGAAGACATTCTCCCTAACAGGGTGGAAAATTGGGTGGGCAATAGCTCCACCACACTTGACTTGGGGAGTGCGGCAAGCACACTCATTCCTTACTTTTGCTACTTCCACTCCAATGCAGTGGGCGGCTGCAGTCGCTCTTAGAGCTCCAGATTCCTACTATACCGAGCTAAAGAGAGATTATATGGCAAAGAAGGCAATTTTGGTAGAGGGGTTGGAGGATGTTGGTTTTAAAGTATTCCCATCGAGTGGAACATACTTTGTTGTGGTAGATCACACACCATTTGGTTTGGAGAATGATATTGCATTTTGTGAGTATCTGATCAAGGAAGTTGGAGTCGTGGCAATTCCTACCAGTGTATTTTACTTGAACCCAGAAGAAGGAAAGAATTTAGTGAGATTTACCTTCTGCAAGGATGAAGAAACTTTGAGGTCTGCAGTTGAGAGGATGAAAGAGAAGCTGAAGAAAAAGTAATTAAAAGGTGTGGAACTAGGTTATTTTGGCCGAGGTATGTCACTAGATTTGGCTTTGTTACACTAAAGATTTGAGATTGAGTGAAGTTGTAGCCCTTCACAGCAATCTGAACTTTAGGTTGAGTAATGATTTAAAAACAAACTTATAAATTTTATTTGAATAATAGAATACCCCTGAGGCCTTACCTTAGTGAACATTGACCAAGGACGGTGATTGATGAATGAGTGTGCACCAGATTGTGTTTAACTTATAATTGAATTGAAATTCTACTGAAACATCCCATAACGGTTGTATCTTGTTACGGTCATTTTGATGCTTTATCTTCTCCCTCTTAAGAGATTCATACCATTTTTTCTGCCCAAACATATATATTAAAGAACTGAAAAGCTATTCGGAGCTCAGTGAAATCCCTTAAACCTCTCGCTTTCTTTCATGCATGTATGCAGGTTCTATTTGAATACTGTCAACTAGCTAATCTTTTTCTCTCTCGCACTTAGCCAAGAGAAAAGGAAAATGAAAGAAAGTAGTCATTTGGCAAGCGGGGAGCTTTTCTGCACCGTTTGCAATAAAAAATAGTCTATTTGGCCTTCTTTTCTCTAATTCGGATTGGTTATATGTGACTTATATGCACACTTCATGACTTTAGCCTTTGCTTCTATTACCGTGCCTAAATGAATCGGTTGAAATAATCATTCGGGCAAGCAAAGAACACGAAGCGGAGAAACATAATCCTAGTTGCTAAAGAAAACAGAGAGAAACCTTGAGGATTAAATGTCTTTCGCACATAAATAAAAAAGTAATTATAAAAGCATTTTATTGGACCTCAAAAAGTCAACCCCGGCTGAAGGTAAGTTAAGATTTCTCTTCCCCATCACCTATTTGTAAGCTCAGAAAGGTGGTTCCACTTTGGATACAATCCCATTCAATAAGCCGGCAACGCTTGTTGATCCGCCTGAGTGCAACCTTCTCCCCCAATGCTGGTGCCCACCGGACTGCTGAGTTGCAATGTTGCCAACGTTTCCTACATTAACGACTCTGGACCTGGTTGACAGCGATTTAACGTTCAACATTAGCATCTCTCCTTCTCCATCCGGGTCACCCATTGTTGCTCTCGAATGCCCACAAGCCTTAGCAAGAGGGAGAATTTCACCACTAGTTCTCCATATACATCAGGCATCGCTCGAGGCACCGCAAGAACCTGACCCACCAATTTATAACAGGCACAGCAAACTTCAGCTTGTTTTGCTCATCATAAAGTGAAACGACCCTCGAAATGATCGGCCTGCACCCTAAGTTGCCATCATCACTTCCATTAAGATCCCAGGACGGATCTCAATTATTTGATTCAACTTCAGGACACCCTTGAGCAAGCTTCTTCCTGTAACACCACCTTTTAGTTCATCGATACCTGCTCCTGGCTAGTTGACATCAAAAGACCGGACTATAGTATCTTTGGTTCTGAGGTAAAATCCCTTAACGGAATAGGAATTAACAATGTAATCACAACAATCTATGTTGCAGTTGAGCTGTGCAGACATAGGCACAATTGGTGCAGCCTCAGCTCTAGTTCCCTTAATAAACAGTCGAATTGCTTCATATTGCTTCACAGCATTATTTTCCTTAACGCAATCAACTTTATTCTGAAGTATGATTATGTCGTTAAGTCCCATAATTTCAAGCTCAACTAGGTGTTCAACAGTTTTGAGGTTGGGGACATTCTTCATTTGCAGCGATCAGAAGCTAGGCTCCATCCATAATTGCAGCCCCATTAGGCATTGTCGCCATCAAAATATCGTGCCCCAGGCAATCCACAATCGAGACATGCCTCACCAGCTTCATCTTATGATATTTATGATATGCCCAGGCGCATCACATATAGAGGACTATCTTCATCGTTATTACTGCCATAGGACTTGAAGCAAAAGGGTCGCGGGCACTCTTTATCTTGGCACTGGTAAATCTTTGCATTAGCATAGCCAAGCTTGATGGTGATGTTACGCTCGAGCTCGGTTTTGAATCGAACAGTTTTGACCACAGATATTGCTTTGACAAGGGTGGACTTGCCACGTGCCACATGACCAATGGTACCCATGTTAATCGTAGACTGGAGAGAAAAGATTTCGGGTGAGAGTGGATGCAACGTTGTCACATCCATCTCGCTTAGATCCTGCTCCCTCAATTCTCCTTTCATTGTCATTGTTGCTACTGCTTGCACTAACAAAAAATTTCAGATCTTCTAAACAGATGTTCTTCTGCAGTACTCTTTCTTGGGATTTTTATGTCAAAGTGCTCGTTCTCTCCTCTCCTTCATGTTGGTTTTTAGGAGTAAGAGGAGGCAACAGATGTTGGAATATATATGGTCCCCGAGGACAAAGAAAATAACCCAAAACAATTAAATTTAGGCAAAGAAACGCGTTAGTTATTTCTCATTCATGCCAAATTTCTTGTGCCACAAGCATATTTAGATATTACTCGTGGTGGGTGAACGACTTAATTTTTCTCCAAATTCTGCAGCCTTGATTACAAAGATTATCATAGCATTATAAGAAAGATGTTTCATTTAACATACTCAACCACGAGATTCAAGGTCAATATGTTTAATAAATATGACTTGTACCCTGCCTCTGTATCTGATATTCTTTTGTGAGGCAGTTCGAGTAGTATTCCTACACTCCCATAGTAGCTGAGTCTTTAACATGAACAATAATATAAAGTGTATTACATATTCATAGCAAAAGAATATTCTTAGTGAAAGTTATTCCATGCAACTAGAATTCCTATTTTTAAATTAAATAATCTTAATCATGTTTAAATTAAAAATTGTCATAACACAGCAAAAAACCTATAAACCTCAACCTGTCTCTTTGCGTCTAGTACACCGCCTTCGCCGGGGTTTACAGACTTCAAGGGAAAGAGAAGAACAAAAAAGGAAAAAAAACCAAAGAATTGTACAATGGCTAAAGATAAGCCGCTTGAGGTTCTAAACAAGCTAGACTTAGCAAAAACTCAACTATACCACTTCAAAGCGGTGATAATTTCCGGCATGGGTTTTTTCACCGATGCCTACGATCTTTTCTGCATCTCTCTGGTCACCAAGCTCCTTGGCCGGATATATTACCATGTTGATGGCTCGCCAAAGCCTGGAACTTTGCCGCCTAACGTAGCTGCTGCTGTTAATGGGGTTGCCCTTTGCGGAACCCTAGCTGGACAACTTTTCTTCGGATGGCTTGGAGACAAGCTAGGAAGGAAACGAGTTTATGGCATAACCCTGATGCTTATGATGATCTGTTCTGTTGCCTCGGGCCTTTCTTTTGGTAGATCTCCTAAGACTGTGATGGGAACCCTGTGTTTTTTCAGGTTTTGGCTTGGTTTTGGTATTGGTGGGGACTATCCGTTGTCTGCTACAATAATGGCTGAGTATTCTAACAAGAAAACTCGCGGGGCTTTTATTGCAGCAGTTTTTGCAATGCAAGGGTTTGGGATTCTTGCTGGGGGATCTGTGGCTATAGTTGTCACATCAATCTTCCGGGCAATTTACAAATCTCCAGCTTATGCAGTGGATCCGCTTGGTTCAACAGTGCCACAAGCTGACTATGTATGGAGGATTATTCTCATGTTTGGCGCTTTGCCAGGTGCTTTGACATATTATTGGCGGATGAAGTTGCCAGAGACACCTCGTTACACTGCTTTAGTTGCCCAAGATGAAGAGAAAGCTCTTGGAGATATATCAAAGGTTCTGAACGTAGAAGTACAGGCAGAGAAGGAGACAGCTGAGCAAAAGGTTATTCAGAAAGGAAACTCTTTCGGGTTATTTTCGAAAGAATTTCTTCATCGACATGGATTGCACTTGTTGGGGACAGCGAGCACTTGGTTTTTGTTAGATATTGCTTACTATAGCCAGAATCTGTTTCAAAAGGATATTTTTAGTGCTGTAGGTTGGCTTCCAGCAGCAAAAACCATGAGCGCACTGGACGAGCTGTACAAGATTGCTAGAGCTCAAACACTGATTGCACTCTGCGGCACAGTTCCTGGATATTGGTTGACAGTGCTCCTAATTGATTACATTGGCCGTTTCACAATTCAATTGATTGGATTTTTCTTCATGACTGTCTTCATGTTTGCACTGGCCATTCCTTATCATCACTGGACTCTGAAAGAAAACAACGTTGGTTTTGTTGTAATGTACGGACTCACATTCTTTTTTGCCAATTTTGGGCCCAATAGTACCGCTTTTGTAGTGCCAGCAGAGATCTTTCCGGCCAGGTTCCGGTCCACTTGCCATGGTATTTCTGCTGCTGCAGGGAAGGCTGGTGCCATGGTTGGGGCTTTTGGCTTCTTGTATGCATCACAGAATCAGGACAAGTCTAAGGCTGATCCAGGCTTTCCGGCTGGAATTGGAATGAGAAATTCTCTCATGGTGCTAGGCGTGATTAATGTTTTTGGATTGTTTTTAACATTCTTAGTGCCAGAGCCGAAGGGAAGATCGTTAGAGGAGATTTCAGGGGAGAATGAAGAAGGTAATCAAGAACAATCCAGGACTGGAGCTCAAACTGTCTAGCAGGGTCCTCAAAAGAATTGGTTTCCTTTATCTCTTCAGCTTTTATTTGCATTTTTTATGCTGAGCAATTATTACCGTAAGGGGTTGTAAGGCTACATTATACGTAATTAAGAGATTGTTTTCCCATATCCATTCCCAATTTTACATTGGGTCTCTTCGTTTATTTAATTTGTTTATTGAGCTTCATGCATTAAGGAAAACAGTAATAACCTTCAAGGGTCCACATCACAGTTTAAAATCCCATAAAAACTACAAACATTGAGCTTCTTGCATTAAGATGTGCGGAGGATATTAAGGGCGTGAGATTTTGACATTACTTGGTATAAATGATGAAATAAATGTCATGATTCAATATATATATATATATATATGCAGAAGGTCTTAGCTAATTTTTGCCAGTAAAATTTTTTGCTAAATGCTAGTTGTAATTGTACCAAGATCCTAGAATTGAGGTCCATCAGCAATGGAGGATTTAAGAGAAGAGGGAGGAGAAATACCTTCATTGTCTAACCCAATCATCGGATTAGTACATTCTGGGGTAAGTTTTTGTAGTCACAATCAATAATGGACATCCTCTTCGTAAAGCTCACCAGCAAATGAAGTACTCTATTAATCAGAGTTGAATAAAAAGCCCTCAGTGAGGTTTTATTATTGCATCAAATATTTCTGTATTGTTGACAGGTCATCCTGATCTTGTTAACTATATTTTCTCACCACAGTGTTAAAGATCTACATTGTATTCTGCTATCAGTAATGAAGCAAAATTATTATATTTGACAAACTAATAATTATTATAATCAGCATAAATACAAGTAATTTTACTGTCCCTAAGCCGACTTATCACTTTCTGCTAGAAACAATTGAGCAAGGACAAGATTGCATTAAAGAACTTGACAATGGTATTGGCTAGCAGGCCAGAAAAAGATTTTTGCTACAGGAAGCAGCCTAGCTGCAACAACATGGTTGACTATTTGCAGGAGCAAATTAAATTGAAGGCAAGTACAAATTTAAAGCCGTCAAGTCACTGTGTCAAGTTCACAATGAAGGATGGGCTTGCTGCTCTATATCATGACTACAGTACTACAGGGAGCAATTCATCAAACATTATTTTATGTTGCTTATCTTCTTTTACATCTATCTGCAAATATGGGAATTAAGCTTTTAGGAAAGTGAAAAAGAAAAAAAAAAAGGGTCCAATTTATTGTCTGAGACAGAGCATGTTTAGGAGTTAAAGTGATATACTGATTTATAATATTTAAATTTAGCTGATTTATTTATATATATAGACAAGTTTAGGTTCAGCAGCACCAGGAAAATTCTTCGTAGTTTTGCATCACAACCTTTTTGCATCAAGAAACTGGTAAAGGGTACATAACGATTAGTTCCTTCTCTAAACTTGACACATTACCCTTCATTTTTTAGATCCAATCTCAGCATTTGAGATTAAATTGAACTTGAAATGACCTGTTAAAATTCATATGAAATAAAACAAGAAACAAGATGTGATCCAATTGCAGTACCTTACTAATATATTCTAATTAATATGTGTAGTAACTTATTTGCCATGATTTCTAAGCAAGTTAGAGACAAGCTTTTGTGTTAATTGGCAAAGCTTTCACCATTGATCAAATAAAATTGGTAAGAGTCAGAGTCAGTGCGTGCTAGCTATGTGAAAATTACAGGTACTTGCATTTAGGTAGTAGTATTAACTAAAATTTGTTGTCATGTGTCTTTCTGGATTCCATTGGACTTCCTAATGGAATTAGAAAATCGATAGAGGAACGAGACCTTGTCTCAATAGTAAAAAGGGAATTCTGAAAATTTTAAATCCCAGATTTAAGTCTTACAATATATGAATTTAGTTCAATTTTATGTTGATTTTATTTATTTCTTCTATGGATGTACTATTCCCATATATACCGAAAATTATTTATTGTGAATATAACCAAAGGAAAAAAAAAAAAACAGAAAGGAAGCTAATTGTGCTATACAAATTGGTCACTCTTTTCTTACCTGATAACCTAAACAATACCTTAATCTCTTGAGCTTATGATATTGAAATCTCTTTTGGTTTTTCGAGAAGCAAATTTTTGGTACAGCTATTGGCTTTGATAATCTTTAGTTTGGAGGTACACTACATCTTTTTAAATGATGAACCTTTCCTTATTATTAATGGAGTTGATGCCAGGAGGCCTGCCTAAAGCCTGCTACGTCCTAGTTAAAGCAAGGAAATAAATTATTCAATTTTTTTTTTCGGATCTTTTATGAACAAGTTGAGGATGGGTCTTGGAATACCATTGAGGAACATGTATTTAATTTCTTAATTTAAAACCCTTCTCTTCAACTAATCCACATGACCCAAGCATTTTGGGTAATCATTGATACAAGATGATTGTTCCTTTCTAGAAGAAGAGGTTGTAATTAGTATTTAGTCTCCAAGTTAATTTGGATGATTTTTCTGTCAGCTTTTATCAAGGTTTTTGGGATAATATTGTTATGTAAACCATATGATAAGGGTTGAATGGAATTTTTTTAGAGCAAGTGCTAATCATTTACACAAGGTATTCATTATCATCTTAGCAAGCCGGGGTGGAAAGTGTGGTGAGTGGTGAGGAAGAAATATCTTCCTTTCAATGGTTGCTAATGCCATGCTTCCAAATAGATAGAATGGGTTTTTGGGATCCTGGGTTCCTAATAAAGTTGTTGATACGATTTGTAATATACCTATTTATTCAAGTGTTCATGAAGGTAAATATCACTTGGCTAGAACAGAACAAGAGGAAGTACAGCCGCCAATTTTTAAATTCTTATGGTAATACACCAATTTCGAAACAAATGCTTAAAATGCATTTAAGAGTGGCAAGTTGCTACCACAGCTTATGGAAATGTGTTACAAAGTCATTGCAAGTTGCATGTATGTTGCTTCTTTCAGTATGCCATGAATTGACTTCTTGTGTCTGTTATGCTTGATGCAAAAGGAGGCGCTTGATCATTTATTTATTAAGTACCCATTTGTGTAAGAGTGTGGTTTACTTCTTTAAATGTTGATTTAAATGTTCATAATATCCTTGAATGGCTTAAGATGGTTTGCTTTTGGGATATGTGTAAGATGTCTAATCATGATCTGCATAGTATGAAGTGTACGTAATACTGATGTTTTTCCGATGCCAAGCACTTGATCTGGAGGCTTTTAGCATCCTAGATTCATTCTTTGATGCAAGATAATTATGAAGATATTAATGCCAATTTTTTTCCATGGTATAGGCACTGGAATAGATGAAGATACGGGGGAGATATTAGCTCTCTTGACCCGATGATCTAAGGAAAACACTTGGTACATCATGGTTAATGTTGCTGTTTGTTGCAAATTGAAAAGATTCGCAGGACCTGCTGTCCTAGTTGACAGTGATCCTCGTTTGGCAGAACCAATTGGTCTCAGTGCAAGTTGCAGCTTTGCAAGGCTTATGGGCAAGGGTGATGGTGTTAACCAACTCAAGTCTCTTTGCTTTCCATTATTAAACCTGATGCAAGATGCCTATTTTATTAGGTTTTTTTGTCTCATTAAAGAGAAGTTGGATCACTATGTTCAGCTTTATAGAAATACTTCATGTATGTATATCAGTAGAAATGAAAACTATGTGGCTCATAATACAGCTAAATGGGCTTTATCTACTAATCTAGATGGGAATTGGGATCTTTGTAATCCCCTTGCAGATCTCAAACATATCCAGCAGGAATTATTTTGTATGTATGCATACCCAAAAAATAAAATTGATGGGGCAATTCAAACCCTGAGAGGAATGAAGCATATCCAAGATATTTTATTACATAATTTACTTACTATAAATATTGGCAATAGTCCAAAGGCAAAAGTACATAGTAGGTGATGGAGAATCAAGTTGCACTACTGCTTTTTCGGCTATGAAAAAGTATATATATATTGACTATTGACAACAATGTTACATGCATTAAATTATGCAATTAGTTTATTTATTTTACCCCAAACAATTTCTGATGGTTTGGTCACTTTGTTGCTTGTGACATCATTTCACTGAAGTTAACCTCCAAGGTGGGAGCCTGCAAAAGTTGACAGAAATTACTTTATTAATTAACTATGTTCAATGTATTCAAAGATGTATAAAACCAAGATCAGGTTTTTTTTGTTTAAACTTTATCTGTAAAATATATGCAAAGATGTTAGTTCATATTTAACTATTTGAAGAAGTAGTAGCATTGATTATTAGAAGTCTATTGATCTGAAAACCCATTTAGTAAATTAAGCAAACATGGCAACATATCAAATGGCATAAAGCAAATCAGGAATATGTTTCCCTTTCGTTTTTTCCCCTCTCTTTATGGCAAACAAAGTTGATGCATTAGAAAATCTCTCACATCTCAGATTAATTAGTAAATGCAAAAATAATTGCAAATACAGCATATAAGCTGACAAAAAAACATAGAAATTGTCATCAAAGAAAAAACAGTACGGACTTGAGAAATTTCCAATGACAAGACCTAGTTCTCAATTTTTCCCATGAACATGGGCGGTCCAACTGTTATATGTTCATATTTCCTTTTTTTTTTTGCATTAAAGAGTCTTTTAAGGAATTTAATTCCCTATCTACCATCTCCAATCATAATTCCGCATCAAACCCAAAATTTATCCTATAATTTCTTCATGTCACCCCTTGATTATTAGGAGTTTTTTATGGTTTATTACTCCGAAGAGAAATCCCATTTTCCATCACCCACGTGACACCCCATCGAATCTCAGCCGTCCAAACGTCAATCATCGAATCATGCATAGGTGAATGATGATGGGACTACGGAGGAGTAGTTTGATTTAGGAATATTGTGATATAGGGAAGCTTTTCTCAATGAAAATGTCAAAAAAAAAGAAACCCTATAACGTTGTAAAAACAGCTGATGGCACGTGCCGGTCCTGCCTGCCACAGGGCGAAAAGGGACCGAATCTAGATCCGACGACTACACCTCCCCGT